GTCAGACATAAGCCTGAGGAGGCCCTCAATGAGGTCAGACATAAGCCTGAGGAGGCCCTCAATGAAATCGAGTCACTAGAATATCAGCAAGAGCCAAATTTGCCTTAAACCCTGTAGTGAAGGATATTTCTTATTATGAAGCATATTTCTTATTATAAGTTCAAAAATAACAATGTGCATAAAGTAAAGACAGTAAAACAATATAACACAACCAAAATATATATTTAAAAATTCCCCCAGCCATTTTGGGGAGGCATCTTAAATGAAGACACTGAAAAATTTGGTCTGATGAAGCAAAGCTCCAGGGTTGCCTGGAATGTTTTTGAAGATACCTCTGCAGTCCTTGATGAGCTCAAAGATACTGTAACTTGCTCTGCTAAACAAATAATTCCCTCCACACTGTCCAACTATTTACAAAGTTAGCACTACTATTACTGTTAATCTTCTCATCACTCCTTATCACCCATCCCTTCCCACTTGTGACTGAAGGACTGTAACTTTGTCGCTTGTATCCTTATGATTTATATTGACTGTTTCCTAGTATGATTTGATTGCTTATTGTACCCTAGGACTAACATTAAGTGTTGTACCTCAAGATTCTTGACGAATGTATCTTTCCTTTTATGTATACAGAAAGCATTTGCACCAGGACAAATTCCTTGTGTGTCCAAGCACACTTGGCCAATAAAGAATTCTATTCTATTCTAAACATGCTATAGCAGTATTTCTCTACCCTGGCAACTTTAAGGTGGTAAATTCTGGGAACTGAAGTCTACGCATATTAAAGTTACCAATGTTGATGAGAAATGCAGTGCTGTAACAGTAAACTATGAGTCATAGTTTACAAACTACAATGGCTACCTTCCCAGAATATTTGTCATTTTAAAAAAACAACAAGCCACAATGTTATGTGGTTTGTGACTTGTTATGGTTTAACACACAATATATAAACCCTATAAATAGAAGAGTGATTACTTTGGGGTACAGAATAATTAAAGAACTGCACTTGAATTCTGTACTTCTGTACAGGTAGTGCTCAGTTCGTTTAGTGATTGTTCAAAGAGTGAAGTGGTGGTGCAGTGGTTAGAATGTAGTATTGCAGGCTAATTCACTGTTCACTACAGGAGTTCGATCCTGACCGGCTCAAGGTTGACTCAGCCTTCCATCTTTCCAAGGTGAGTAAAATAAGGACCCAGGTTGTTGGAGGGCAATAGGCTGACTCTGTAAAAACCGCTTAGAAAGAGCTGTAAAGCACTATAAAGCGGTTTATAAGTCTAAGGGCTATTGTTACAATGGCACTGAAAAAAGTGACTTATGACCATTTTTCACAGTCACGGCCTTTCCAACATCCCCATGATCATGTGATCAAAATTGGGGTGCTTGACAGCTGGTTCCCTTTTGCGACCTTCTGACAAGCAAAGCCAATGGGGGAGGCCAGGTTCACTTAACAACTAACTTATCAACTGCAGTGATCCACTTAACAACTCAGGCAAGAAAAGTCATAAAATGGGACAAAACTCACTTAATGAAAGAAATTTGGGGCTCAATTGGAGTTGTAAGTTGAAGTCTTATGTAAGTTGAAGACTACCTGTACTTAGTACACTAAGAGATCCTGTGACTATTTGTTGGCAGCCAAAGTAATTTGTAAACTATGGCTTGTGGGTTTAGTTTGTAAGGCGAAGATGTGTTGCAAAGTATTTTTTGTCAGAAGGTAACATGTGAGAAACCCTAATCTAAATTTAGCATAAGGAGAGGTAACTGGCTTGAAAATGACAGTCTCTCCTTTCACCAAAATTAGCTTGGGTTTGAATGATTTTTTGCCAATTCTGCAAGTTCTGGAAGGATTTGAAATGTCATAATTTTAGATCTACCTGAAAAGGTGAATGATATTCTATCAATGAACTGAATACATCAGGCTCAGCACATCCTCATACAAAACACTCAACCATGTTTTAAATTGCTGAATTCTACAGATTTGTTTTTAGAAGGCTAAAAGCAGCTTAATCATTCCCCAGCCATTAACATGGGATCCAATGACATGCCAGAGGCCTTCAAACTTGACAGCTTTAAGTCTTGTGGACTTCAACTCCCAGAATTCTTCCTCCAGTCATGTTAGCTCAGGAATTCTGGGAGTTGAAGTCCACAAGTCTTAAACTTGCCAAGTTTGAAGACCCTTGTACCAGACTATGGCTAAGGTAAGATAAACATGAACAAACCACAATTATGGATTGTGATTAAGGTTTCACTCCATGATAGCCTAATGTAAGTTTCAGACTATTTGATAAACTGATCCACAGCCCTATCATGAAACTCTAGTCACCAACCTGCTTCATGCATTGCTTTTATAATTTAGTGCTGCTTGCAGAATTAGCATAAGCTAAGCTTCATGGGTGAGACAACTATGAATTTGCATCTTCATAATTTTGTTCAAACCCTAATCTACCCTGTCCACATTCCAGAGTCATACTGTGATCACAACATACCCAGAAGGAAACTAAATAAATTGAAAAGGCTGTTGTAACTCTTCATCCCAAGTGGTCTCTCTTTATTAAGATCTATAACCAACCCTATCATTAAATAGCCAGTTAAAGCCAACAGAAACTTCAGTCATTACCTTCTGTCTTGTTGGGAATAGCATCAGTGTAGATATGTCTTGAAGGTTCTACTACCATGTAACCCTCTGCATCTTCCATAATCTAAGCAAACCACAGGGAGCAAGTCATACGAATGAGATCATTCCTGAGCATTAAACCAAAATATACTAGTTTTCAGTTCCTCTTCAGTGGAACTGCCCCCAAATGAGTGGGTGCTTTTCCTTCCCTCCTAAATCTAAAGTTTCAGTGCCATCCGGCAAACAATTTTAAATTGGTCCTACCTTCCTCTTAACTCGCGAATGTCTCTCACAATAAACCACAAATCCAGCATGTGTGTAGAGAAAGAGGAAGTAAAGCCTCCAAGTCTACACAGACTGGGAAAACGCCTTTAATCCGAGGGAAAGCAATTCAATAGCAATCACCTGCTAGGACTGAGCCAAAAGTTGGGAGAGGAAGGAGATTCCCACCAGCATCTGCAAAGAAGGCCACCAAAGCAATTCCTCAGTGAAATAAAAAAAAAAGTAGTGTTTGACAAACAGTTGTACAAAGAAAGAATAGGGAGGGAGAGAAAAGTCCATCAGGAAAAAAAGTAAAACGGTTTTTCAAATGCAAATAGACTTGTTTTGCTACAAGAGTTAAAGACCCGAAGAAATGTGAAAGACTTAAAAGCTTTCAAGATAGGAAAATATCAAGCTAAGAATACAGGGATACAAACATACACGAGACCTAACAGAACAGATGGACATGCATAGATGGGATGAGACAAAAGTAGGTGTAAATTCTAGCAATAGGACAACTGTAGATTAAGGCAGGCAGAAAGAAAATAAGTAGGAACTAGGCACAGCCATAGAGTTAGCAATATGATTAAAAGTAAAGAGTTGTGCTTTAATTTTGTAAAATAAAACTATCTCAATGGAACAAAACTAAAGCTAAGTCTTTATGTCTCTGGCTCGCACCAACTTGAGAAATCCTAGTATCTTCTAAAGGTAGAATAGCTTTTTTGGACTTGTCAAGCCACTCCTAAAATATAGGACAAGCCCTATATCCAGCCAATGGGACTTTCAAACTTAATCAGCAATGTCATCTGAAGTCTGCCTCAATCTGATGTGAGTAATGCATTCTTCCTTGTGTCAAATAATTAATCTGGGGTTCCAACTTGAGGCAGGGTTGTGCAGGAACAAATCAAAATGAAACCCAGACATATTGTGAGGAGATTTTTTTATTCATGAAAGTAATGGGGTGCTCTACAGAGAAAATGGGGCCCAGAGAAGTAATTTTATAGGGGACTGGTCCTTGGTGTAAGCTTGAGAGGCATAGGTGGTGTGTACTGCTGGTTCTAGCATGTAACTCTGTCAAAAGATCAACCTTAATTGTCCTGGTCTCTTTCGGCTTGCCATTGTTGCATAAGGGTGTCCGGGCAGCCTATTTGTGGGTTTTGGTTGAGCCATGATGCTGCAGTGCTTAGAATGCAGTATTTGCAGGCTAATTTAGTTCACTGCCAGGAGTTTGATTCTGACTGGCTCAAGGTTGACTCAGCCTTCCATCCTTCTGAGGTCAGTAAAATGAGGACCCAGATTATGGGGGGCAATATGCTGACTCTGTAAACCAGTTAGAGGCTGTAAAGCACTGTGAAGTGGTTTGTAAATCTAAGTGCTATTGCTACTCGGCGATGTGTGAATGAACAGATTTTTTTTGGGGGGGGTCTGGATAATTTTGTCTTGCCTAAGTACTTACTATATGTTGTGAATCAATAAAAGTGAATAACCTAAATGCAAATTAGGGGTTGAAAACCTGCACACTTGATTGGTCCTTATACAACAACTTGGGATTGGGCCAGAACCAGTCCCTGATTGGTCACTTTTGGGACTGTCCTTATTGGTCAGTAGTTGGAACCTGTTGCGCATTTTCATTGGTTAATAAGGCAGCAGCTAACCCTATAAAAGGGTTACTGCTGCCCATAGCATTGCTCTGTTCCATTCTGATGCCTGTTATTATTAAAGAGTTGAAGTCACTGGTCAGATGTCTGGTCTCCTTATTCTCCAAACTTAACAATGGCGACGAGGGTGGGATATGGAGACCGAAGAGCTGACTAAACCTACAGAGCAACCTACAGAGCACGTGGTTGATCACACACCATCAACGGCAACATGGCCAGCGGTGTCTTACCACCCGCTCCATTCGACCCAGAGACCGAAGACTGGGAGTCATACATGGATAGGTTCCAGATGTTTCTGGAGACCAACAACCTAAAAAATGCAACAGCGGGGAAAAAAAGAGCTATCTTTCTAACTCACTGCGGCCCGACCGTGCTTAAGATGGCAAAGTCACTTGCCAGGCCAGCAGAGGTAAAAGAGATGGACTGGGACGTCCTCGAGCCTTTACTACGGGCTCACTACGCACCTACGGTACCAACCCTCGTCAGAAGACACGAATATTACCGGAGGGACCAACAGAAAGGTGAAAGCCTCACTGATTATATCGCGGACCTCCGAAACCTTGGAGGCCTCTGCGGATTCGCAGACTTAGAAGAAGCTCTCCGGGACCGTTTGGTTCTGGGCCTAGAAGACGGCACGATCCAGAGTAAAATTATGGCTAAGGGGGACATCAGTCTCAACGATGCCCTTAAGGAAGCCTCGGTAGCAGAGGCGACCAAGAAGTCGGCAGCCCGAATGCGCCGCACCAACGCACCGCTACGTAAACTCGCCACCGATACCTCGCCTCACTCAGAGAGACACCCGGTATCAACTCACCACGAAGACCTAGAGTCCCCGTCCGACAGCGATGAGGAAGAGGTCAACCGACTGCGAACGGAGCGAGATCAGTCCACACAACACTCATTTCGACCGTGTGCCGGTTGTGGATCCAATCACCCACGATCCGGCTGCAAATTCCTCGACGCACTCTGCCGAAATTGCGGGAGGCGAGGTCACATCGCAAAGGTTTGCAGAAGCAAACAAAACTCCAAACCCCGACAGGCCGAATGCCAATCTTCAGGATTCTTCGGCACACACCGAGAAAAATTAAACCACTCCTACAGAAACAAACCGTCCACCACTTCCACCAGGCGTGAAGAAACCCGGCGGGAAGAGACCCACCAAACAATCACCATAGGCCACGCTACATCTCTTGATGCCGGGAAAATCCGAGTAAAGGTCGCCATCGAAAACAAACCTTGCGTGATGGAGGTAGACGCGGGATCTTCCCTCTCGATGGTGTCGTGGAAAACGCTCCAACAGCTCCTTCCAACGATTCGCCGCCAAGACCTTAACCCTCAGAGGGTTATACTCAAAGACTATCAGGGCAACCGAATTCCCGTCGTCGGGTCCCGCAGATTCCAGGTCTCATTCAAGAACCGCACCGTCGCACTACCACTGACTGTCATGGATCGAGACAGGCCTAGTCTTCTAGGCCTGCAATGGTTCAGGCCGCTCGGAATCACTGTAGCCAGAGTCCACAAGGCCGAAAGTGTCGATTGGGAGGAAGCACTCGTGCAAGAATTCCAAGACGTTTTCGCGAATGGACTAGGCAAGTATAAGGGGACCCCAATCTCGTTTAACTTGAACCCTGAAATAGCACCCATCCGCCTTAAGCCGCGTCGGGTGCCGTTCGCCTTAAAGCCTAAAATCGACGAACAACTCGATAAGCTGATAGCGCAGGGCGTACTGGAACCCACCGACCACACCCGTTGGGAAACCCCGATAGTAACGCCTATCAAGCCTGATGGGTCCCTAAGAATTTGCGGAGACTACCGGGCCACTTTAAACCACGCACTGCAGCAAAGTGCTTATCCAGTACCGGTAGTGCAACACTTACTCCATTCTCTGGGCGGCGGAAAAGTTTTCGCCAAACTAGATTTAGCCCAGGCGTATCAACAATTGCCTGTAGACCCAACCACAGCCGAGGCACAAACGATCGTAACACATAGGGGCGCATTTAAATGCAACCGGCTCCAATTCGGAGTAAGCGTCGCCCCTGGAATCTTCCAGAGTTTAATGGAAAGGTTGTTACAAGGGATAAAAGGCGTTGTTCCATATTTCGACGATGTACTCATCACCGCACCTAACAAAGACATCCTAGAAAAACGACTCAGAGAGGTTTTACGAAGATTCCAAAATGCAGGCCTCAGAGTAAAAAAAGAGAAATGCCACTTATGTACCGAAAAAGTAGAATTTTTGGGATACCTCCTGGACAGCCAAGGAATTCATCCCACCGAAGACAAATTACGAGCAATTAAAAAGGCACCCACTCCTAGGAACAAGGCAGACCTACAGGCGTTCCTTGGACTTATCAATTTCTATAATGTGTTTTTACCCCACAAAGCAACAGTAGCTGAACCATTGCATAGACTATTAGACAAAAAAGCAACGTGGGTTTGGGGACAACGGGAACAACATGCTTTCCAACAAATAAAGAAATTGCTAACTTCTGATTCAGTACTTATGCAGTACAACGAGACTCTGCCGCTCACTATCACGTGTGATGCATCACCTTTTGGGGTTGGGGCAATTCTGGCCCACGTGTTACCAAACGGAGCGGAAGCCCCCATCGCATTTTTTTCGCGAACCTTAGCTAAAGCTGAACGAAATTATAGTCAGCTGGACAAAGAAGCTTTAGCTATTGTTGCTGCAGTTAAAAGATTTCACGAATATGTTTATGGCCGTGCGTTTACAATAATCACTGATCATAAACCGCTACTGGGGATCATTGCGGGTAATAAACCAACCCTGTATATATTGTCCCCCAGAATGACCCGTTGGTCTGAATTCCTGGCGGCCTACAACTACACCTTGCAGCACCGCCCGGGGAAATCGATTCTCCATGCCGATGCATTGAGCAGAACAACCGCTCCCAGACGCTGTTGTGGATCCAGCCCCAACCCTCTCAACACTACAGATTGAAACTCTACAGGCACCACCCTTGACGGCTAGAGACATTGCTTTGGAAACGAAACGTGACCCAGTTCTGCAACACATACTACGCTGGGTTGAACGGGGGTGGCCGACGGACCAAATTGCACCTGAATGGGCGCCCTTCAAAGCCCGCCAAACCGAGCTGTTTTCCCAAAAAGGCTGTATCTTGTGGGGCGATCGAATCGTAATCCCTGCCAAATTGCAACAGACTGTGTTGGCGATATTGCATGAG